CATGTGTTTATTGGTTATTTGTGTAACCTTTTTGGAGAAATGTCTGTTCAAACCCTTTGCCCATTTTTAAATTGGGTTGTCTTTGTATTATTGAGTTGTAATAGTTCTTTATATATTCTGACAGAAGTCCCTTACCAGATATATGATTTGCAAATATATTCCCCCATTCTGTGGGTTTTCTCTTAACTTTCTTGATGGTATAACTTATAACACCCAAGTTTTTAATTTTGATGTAAGCCAGTTATCTTTTTTCTCCCCCTTTGATCATTTGTGCTTTTGGTGTTGTATCTAAGAAATCATGACCTAACCCAAGAACGTGAAGATTTGTTCTTATGTTTTCTTGTAGAAGTTTTATATTTTTAGCTCTTACATTTAGGTTGGTGATCCATTTGGAGTTAATTTTTGCATATGGTGTGAAGTAAAAGTTCAATTTCATTCTTTTGCATGTGGATATCCAGTCATCCCAGCACCCTTTGTTAGAAAGACTTTTTTTTTTTCATGGAATTGTCTCTGCATCCTTGGGAAATAGCAATTGATGCTAAAGCTTTTGGTCCGGGAGCCATATTTGGAGAAGCACTGACTTAGTCTTATACTTTTTAAAGAAGGTGATGTTTAGGCCTGGGGTCATCAGATAGGTTCCCTGGAGGTGGTATTTGCGTCAGCAGGTTGAGAGCTGGATCCACCTGCCAGGGAAAGGTAGAGGTTACCTGAGCCCAAAGAGATAACCCAAGAGCCCACTGCATTGTATTCACAGGGGAGATACTGTTTACCAGGGGAGTCAGGCTAACGGTGGGTTCTGCCCACGTGGACAACATATGGGGCAGCCAATTGATGATCAGATGTGACAGTTGGTCAATTTACAAAAACAAGAATAATGGTCAACTGTTCCCGAATTTTCCCTCCCAGGCTCCCAGGCTCAGTCCCGTCAAGAGAGGCATCGTGCATGGGTTTATGTGTCCAACTTGCGATTTCAAGTTTCTGGAGGGCTTCTCCAGATCTTGTCACAGGTTTTATTTCAAGGTTCTAAACCCAAGAGGCTTTTCTACCTCCCTCAAAGTACGCCTCTGATACACGGGTGGACAACCTTGGTGCAGCTAAGGATCAGGCCCCCTTTGTGACAGTGTGTTCTCATCCTGCCCGTGACCTCAGCTGCGCATAAGACCCTCTTGTGGTTCCCAGGCTGTCTGTCCCTGGCTGCCCCAAGTCAGAAACAAAACCAGGACTCTTTTCCCCACGGTCTGTACATGAAGTATTCCCACAGGCCCCAAGTGTCCACGTCTCTCCCCCTTCCCTCTTTAACAGAAAGGAGAGACATAACAACCCCACCTACTCACCGCCAAATTATTTCCCATCTGCTCTTAAAAAGAAAGTGGGTAGGGGCGCCTGGGTGGCTCAGTTGGTTAAGCGACTGCCTTCGGCTCAGGTCATGATCCTGGAGTCCCGGGATCGAGTCCCGCATCGGGCTCCCTGCTCGGCGGGGAGTCTGTTTCTCCTTCTCACCCTCCCCCCTCTCATGTGCTCTCTCTCTCTCTCATTCTCTCTCTCAAATAAATAAATAAATGAAATCTTAAAAAAAAAAAGAAAGTGGGTTTTCCCCTCCAACAGCTACTCTAACCTACATGTTCCTTGAAATTTAAGCAAAGTAACTTTTTTTTATGTACCTTCCACTAAGCAAAGTGACTTTTAAGCCAATTTTTTTTATTCATTCAAAAATGTTTTGCTAGGTTTAGGTGAATTTGCTGAAAATCATCTGGCCAAATGATTGCTAATTTCTCTTGGTCTTCGCTTGGACCCTGCCCAGCCCCATCTGCTGATTTGGGATGGTTTGGTACATGGGCCTATTTCCATTATTCTCTGAGGCCTTCCTATATGCCACACGCTGGGGATACAGTATTGAACAAAAGCTGAGATCTCAGCTTTCCTGGAAATGTGAGTCTGGGCGGAGGGGGTGGCGGGAGGGTAGAGGACAAGGAGCGATGAAAAATAATCCACAAAGAATCACAGATACAAATATATGATTGCAAGTTGTGGCAGATTCCTGGGAGTAAGGAAGCTATTATTTGGGGGTGAGAGTGGGTCAGAGAAGCTGAGGTCTAAACAGGAGTGAGGGTTACCCTGGTGCACAGTGGAAGAGGAAGTGTTCCAGGGAGTGAGACTGAGCATGTGCAAAGGCCCTGAGGTGGGCAACCGCCTGGCCCATTCTAGGACTGCCGGTGGACTGGAATCCAGTGAAAATGTTGGAAAGTGGCGCGAAATGAGGCTGGCAAGGCAGCCCAGGAGTCAGACCATGCAGTTCTCAAAGACCACGGAAGGTTTTTTTTTCCTCAGAGCAGTAGAAAGCCACTGAAGGATGTCAGCGGGCAGAGAGATGTTCAGGTCTTCATTGCCCGAATGTCCCCCTGTCGGTGTTTGAAGAAGGTACCGTAGAGAGGTGGGCAGGGACTCAGGAGAGCAGGCAGGTGGCAGTGGCGGTGGCTTCGGAGAGAGCGCGAGACCATCTGGGCATTGGGATGGAGTAGTGGGGCGAAGATGAAAACCTAAAAATCATGCATGCGCAACGCCGTCTGCGACAAGTCAAGCTTATGGTAGAACCACAACTCTCCGCCAACAAGAATCCAAAGCTTTGGTTTGCCATGGATTTAAACAAGGTTCAAGGCTCCTTGCTCTGTGACGAAGGCTGCTACTTCTAACGAGAGCAAGACACTCAGCGTTTCCACAAAACTTTCTGTGTGTGCCAGGCACCATTCAGCATCATTGCCTGTGCTTGTTTTTTCCAGTCGCTTCCATGATTCTCCTCGGGGAGGTCAACTTCATGCTAAAAGATGAAGGAGGAAATGAGAGGGATGAAGGCGGCTTAAAGCCACGAAGGCTGCAGAGGAGTCTCACGGAAAGCGGGTGGACCCAAGGACCAGAAAGCGGGGAGCCCCAGGGGGGCTCATCTCTCTGTTTCTTTCCACCTCATTTTTCAGATGAGGGAAACTGAGGCCCAGAGAGACTAAATAGCGTGTCTAAGGACATGCAGCTGGTAATGTTCGGCAGTCCAGTGAACATTTCCACTGAATGCATTAAACAGCAGAGCTGGCAATCAGACCTCGGCAGGGTAGGGGCTGGGGCGATCAGGGGGCTGGGGAGTGGACGGGGAGGGCTGAGTCTCCAGGGAGCTGTGGTCATGATGAACCCGCTCCAGTGACCTTGGGCCTTGCAGTCTGCCCTCCACTCAATATCCAGTTCCCAGGAGAGCGTGGGGGGGGAGGGGCCCGCGTTCCCCCTGGCTAAGCCACAACAGAACACCCCAGTTGACTATCTCACCGGCAAGGGGTCATCTGCAAAGATCACCAGGTGCCACCACCAGGAAAGCAAGGGGGAGGGTTCCAGTTGACATAAGAGGCCTGGTGCACCCACTTGGTCACTTTCCATCTCAGAGCATGCCCCCACCTTCCACCCACCACCCAGCTCACCGCCCCCCACCCCCGTCCCCCAGGCACCAGATCCTGCCCCGGTTTCCTCCAGCTATACTGCCAGTCTGGGTTGGGGTCCTGTCATTCCTTACCTGCATTCCTGCAAGCTGCAGCTTCCAGTCCAGACCTCACCAAGACCGTGCCCTATCCAGAGGCATCCTCGAGAAACAAGGTCTGATTTTGATAGGCTATGATAAGCTCCTTCATGCCCACCTAAACCCACAGCCTGCCCGGCCCCCGGGGCCCCCATGAGCCCCTCGCCCCTGGAGCGTCATCCACCCCCTCACCTCCTGCTGGCAACAGCATGCCCATCACAGCTTATGATTAACTGCAGCGGATGCATGACTTTGTTCACGGTCTCTGAGCCTTTGCTTTTGCTGTTCCAAGCCCTCCCGCTGTTCCTCGCATGAATACCCCTCACTCAGCACAGACGCCGCGCCCTCCCCGTGGCCCCCTCATCCTTGCTACAGTTTTCGTATTGTTTTGGAATGTTCTGTTCATTCCATCGTTCGGCAAATATTTATTGAACAGCTACTATGTGCCAGACACTGCGTGAGGATTATGGCAGTGAGCAAACCAAATTCTGGCTGGAGGGCAACAGGGAGCAAAGGAAATAAGTAGGCAGAGAGCATGTCCGGGGGCAACGAATGCTCTGGAGAGAAACAAAATGGAGGAAGAAGACCGAAAGTGGGTATCTGGGCAGGGCCTCCTAGGGAGGGAGGAGAAGGGCTAGAACACGTCCCCGGGGGTTTGTAGGCCCCTGTTGGAGACCTTATGTTTTCCTCTCAGTGAAATGGGAAGCAAGGGCCCCCAAATGCTGCCTGGAGAAGAGCCTGCTGGTGGGAAAGGGCAGCGCAAGTCTAGTAGGGACGAGGTCAAGAGTCTGCAGCAACAGCACAGGTGTGAGAAGTGACAAGAAGCGACGTCTGCCTCCTTCCCCGGTGGGTGGCCCAGAGGAGATGCCCAGCAAACATCTGGTAAAGAGCAGGGGAAGGGGCTTGCAGATGCCTGCCTTCCTTCCCGAGCATCGCTGGTTTCCTGGGTGACGACACAGAGGGAGATTCCAGGCAGGCATTCCTAGTTCTTGGCCTTGTCTCTGCCCTTCAACAGGGGGGCAGATCCGCGCAGAGAAAGCCCCCAGCCTGTAGTGCCCCGGGTAGGAGATCACTCCCTCCGTGGGGCCCTGACACCCGTGCACGTGGCCGAGAGGCGAGGGGGACGCACTTTTGGAGGAGCTGCGTGCGTGCTCACCGTGACTCGTGCCTCACCCCCTGCTGACCTTACATAACAGGGAAATTAGGAGAACAGCCTCTGGCAGTGGAACTTCAGAAATCTGGGAGAGTTACGTGCCAGGCTGAATCAATCAGGACCCCCTTGCCCAGGGCAAACACAGAGGCTCCTTCTGAAGACTGGATGGAAGCCCCGCCCAAGCCTTCACAGACTCATTCTTGCATTTCAGAAGAGAAAAAAAATAATAAACCACCCAAGGCCTAATCCCCAAAGCTGGGGTCAGAGGAAGTAGAGGTCGTTAGCTAGAACCCATATTCGTACACTGTTTTTTGTTCTTGTTACCCAAACTTCCTGGGCAGGGACTCCCAGGCCAAGTGGGCGGGAAGAAGGGTCCTTAAATGTGTCCCTTCTAGGCTGCTCATTCCAGAAGCTCAAGCCACTGGGAAAGGCTGTGTCAAAGGTATTCTCCCCACTCCCCCTCCCACCCCATCCCCCAACCCCGTTCTTTTTTTTTTTTTTTTCCCTAGGTGGGACTATCCAGCGTCTTTTGGCCTCCCTTTGCTCACCTGTAAAATGGACTCCTAACAGTTCCTTCTTCATGGGCGCAGCCATGGAGTTTTTGTGAGGATTAAAGGGGGTGGTTGAGGGGAAGTCATCCACAGGGACACCCGGGGGCGAAGTCGGCACAGGTGAGGTGGGTGGGATGCAGAGCTGTGGGAAGGTGGACTGGTCCGGGGAAAGGAATTCCATCAGCTCTCCTTGGGGTGCCAAGTGCAATGTTAGATGCTCTCCAGCTCCGTTAATCTCTGTAATAATCTCTGTAATAAGAGGCGATGCCATTATTGATGCCGTCCATAGAGGGGGCTCCTTCCCAGATACCCCAAAGTTCTGAGTGCTGGACATGGGGTCACACAGGGCTCTTCCCCCCTGGGCCGCCCAGCCTTGGTGGCCAGTGGCCAGACAGAGCCTGCTGCCCTGGTTTGATCTCCCAAGTCTGCGGAGGGAAGCAGGACCCTCCTGTAGAGCTGTGCGGCTGGGGTCGTGGTCAGCTGGGGTGCCCCGGATGCCCGCAGGGCCCCTCCTCTCTGTGCAAAACGCCTGCGGTGGGGGTCAGCACCGTGGACAGGGGACCCCGTGGAAGCTATGAGAAACCGCTTGCTGGAATTTGAGCAGGATTACACACACACACACACACAGCTATTTCCATTTTGCAAAAACAAAATTATATATACCATATATACATATATTTACATACAGATATATGTATCTGTATACTATATATGGTATATATAATCTTTCTTGCAAAATGGAAATAGCCTTATTGTGGGTTTTCTTTTTTTTTTTTTCTGATACTAGAAGTTATGCAGTGTCTTAAAGTGGTTGGGTATCTCTGGGAGGCACGGTAAGGAATTGCTGAGGGAAAAGGGGGAAGGGAGGTTTTTCTCTGTGCCCCTTTCCTATCTTTTTACCTTTTCTACCATGAGCATGTGTTACCTATTCAAAAAGGTACAAAACATTTTTAAAAACGCAAGCTTGTTGCAAAAGAAGTCAAACACCACAGAAGATGAATGCAGAGATCACTACTAATCCCACCCCTACCTATTGTCACAACGTTGGGGGTTATTCTTCTGGTCTTATCTTCCGTGTACAAGGGCACACGTACGCGTGCACGTGCACACACACGTCTAGGCACATGCCTAGTGTGCCTGCTGTTCTGTAACCTGATTCCTTATGTCTCATGCTTATGCCTCGTGCCTGGGACACACCTGGCACCGAGAACAAGAGCTGCACCTCCCTCTGAAATCCTGCACAATCATCCGTTACATAAGTCCTACGTACCTCATTTCCATTGCTGATGGCCATTTAGGATGTTTCCAGTATTTCTGTGTTATATGCAACCTTCATGACCTTGCTTATTCATGAATGTTTAGGAACGCTGAGATGTCTGTAAGCTCCTGAATGTGGACCTGCGGTATCATAGAGAAATCCATTGGAAAGGCTTCTTCTGCTGGAGGTTGCCAGATGGCCCCCAGGAGAGCCATCCCAGTTTGCTAGTATGGTTCCTTGCTCCGCTAGCAGGAATCCCCTCTGCACTTCTGTGCGGAACTCTGAAGCTCTGAGAGACTTCTGCTGGCACGCACTCTGTGTCCCACAGGTGTTACAGGCACACTCTGGTTTAAAGACCAAGCCTGGTTCCACCTGCAAAGCAACCAGTGCTTTTGCAAACAGTCACGGAGCCAGAAAGGTGGCGCAGGTAGGCTGATGCTGGGTTTTCTTTAATCAGCTGGCTGTGGAATCACAACCTGAGCCGGCCAATCTAATCCGGAAAGGGGCCTGGCTTGGGGCGCAGAGCTCTTGGAGTGTTTGGCTGCCAGTGTCTTCCAGTTTGCAAGCGGGCAGAGGTGGGAGTGGGGCTTGAGAGATGCCAGGAAGGACCTGCCCCGGCACACTGCCGGGAACTCACCGTGAGCAATTAGGGTCGCGTGTCATTGCTTCCTGGCCCTCCCTGCAGATGAGTTTGTCATCAGCTCAGGGGGTATTGAGAGGGCCAGAGGGTACCAGCCATCTGGGTTAGGGAGCTGAGAAGGCAAAAGCATGCCATTTTCCCAGCGCTCCCGGGGAGATCGTCCTCTTCCTACAAAATTAACGCGGTGGAGGAGCAATGAGGGTGCTAGCCCTGAAGCCCCCAGGTCCAAGGTGTCCTTCCCCCCCAGGCACCATGAGCAAAATCAGCGAGGTCGTGCAGCGGGCCAGAGCCGCGTTCAACTCGGGCAAGACCCGCCCGCTGCAGTTCCGGATCCAGCAGCTGGAGGCGGTGCGGCGCATGATCAAGGAGCGTGAGAAGGACATCGTGGGCGCGCTGACCGCCGACCTCCACAAGGTGCGCCCCGCTTCCCCCCCAACCCACCCCGGAGGCTGGAACAGCAACAGGAAGGGTCGCTGCTCGCGTCTGGGACATCTGCTGCGCGCCTGGCGCTGTGTGTCCAGCTCTTTGCCTAGAACCGCACCTTGTCCTCAAAGCAGGCTGCCTGAGGCGGGACCCTTTTTATAGAGGAGGAAAAGTGCAGCTCAAACCATCAGACTCTGAGATGGGGCGCTCAGACCACTCCTTCCAACCCATTCTGAACCCCGGGTTTCCCCGCAGCCCAGCGCAGAGGCCGGCAGCTCCTTCCCCCCCATCTGCCTGCCATTCCCTCCTGGCTTCACTTCCTTCTCCATCCAGCCCGGAGCACGAGGCCACCCTGTTTAGCCATATCCTGCGCACAGGACACCCTGAACTTCTTGTCTGCTCATTCCCCCAGCCCTCAGCCCCATGCATGGCCACCTGGTCCCCTCCACCCCCACCAGAGAACATCCCAGCTTGGGGTCCCAAAGGGCACCCTGCTCTACAGGGTATCCTCCCTCCCTCCCCACCCATCCCTCACCCTGAGCAAAATCAGACACCTCCCAATTTTCAAACCCTTCACCTTGCTGCCCCCAAGTCGCCTGGCCCTGCTCCCACAGTTCGATTTCGCCTTGGAGAAGAGCAGGGGGTTAGCTGGAGCTCCTCCCCCTCCTGTGCTAGACCCTTTCTGCTGCATTTTTAAATCTCTGATTCCTCATCTTAATACAAAAACTTCACAAATTCTGTTTTGCTCTTTCACAGCCGAAGTGCATGGAAGAGTTGTGTATTTTGCCATCTGCCCCTCCTTTCTCCTCACCCTTGCACAATGGCTTCCTCCCCACCCACTCCAGCAGGGTCCCTTGAACCCTCTGCTCATTCCCTCCTTCCCCTGCTGAGGTTCTTGAGGTTCTTCTGGGGTTTGTCCTCTCTTTGACAGTCTTTTTTCCTGCACCTGTTTCTTCAAGGTGGCTTTCTTAGGGCTCCAACCTGGGTTCAAGTCTCATTTCAATCTATGAGCATTCCTGGACACACCTCTGCTCGGTTCTCCCCACCCTTTAATGACCTTCAAATCACTGACCAGGTCCGAGGTCCTCGCAGGCACCATGAACTTGACATGTCCAAACCTGCCTGGGCCCCCAACACTGTCAGAAAGGGACCTTCGCGGGCCCACCACCCCAGTGGCAAATGCTCAGCTTTGCTCGCACCCTCTGTGCCTTCTCTGGCCCAGGCCCCTGGCCTGGGGAGCCCCCAGTGAACACCCACCATCAGCCTGGCAGCTGAACATAACTGGGCTGTGTCCAACATGCCGACCCAGCAGTCCTGTGAGGTCCAGATCACGCTCCCATTTTTCAGATCAGGAGGCTGAGGTTAGGAGAGGGTAAGCAGCTCAGTCAGGGTCCCAAATCTAGGGAACAGTGAGCCAGGAGCACAGCCAAGCCCCGGTGACTCCCTCGACCTCCAACCAGTGAACTCACACGGAGCCCTGTCTCCACCGCAGAATGAATGGAATGCCTACTACGAGGAGGTGGTGTATGTCCTGGAAGAGATCGAGTACATGATAAAGAAGCTCCCCGAGTGGGCTGTGGACGAGCCCGTGGAGAAGACTTCCCAGACCCAGCAGGACGAGTGTTACATCCACTCGGAGCCCCTGGGCGTGGTCCTCATCATCGGCACCTGGAACTACCCCTTCACCGTCACCATCCAGCCCATGGTGGGCGCCATTGCTGCAGGTATACGTGGGCCCCGTTTCGGAGGGAGTCACCAGGCATCACGGTCCCACCCCTGCTGAGCTTGCCCAGAGATGGCAGGCCTGGGGGAAGATGGAGCCCCAGGCTCAGGTCGTGGTCTGATGGATCTGTCTTTCACGTGGTCTGATGGACACAGAACGGATGGGGCTCCAGGCTTGGTCACTGGGAGGGCAAGATTCTGACTCCCTGATCTCTGCAGGGAACGCAGTGGTCATCAAGCCCTCGGAGCTGAGTGAGAACATGGCCAACCTGCTGGCCACCATGATCCCTCAGTACCTGGACAGGGTGAGGTGCTCGCTGGGTCTTTGGGCGTTGAGAAACAGTGCATTTTTTGCAGCAAGAGGCTAAGCCTTGGGTTGGGGCAAGGACAGCCAGCCTCTCCCACAGAGATGAAAGGAGCCCCGGTGTCAGGTGGTGGGGGGGTGTTCTATCTGATGGTGGCTGGCTCGCCAGGGGAGGTGGGGTCGTGGTCTTTCCTGAGCCTCGTCTCTCTCCTCCCATGGAAGGACCTGTACCCGGTGATCGATGGGGGCATTCCCGAGACCACAGAGGTGCTCAAGGAGAGGTTTGACCACATCCTGTACACCGGGAACACCGCCGTGGGGAAGATCATCATGACGGCCGCAGCCAAGCACTTGACCCCCGTCACGCTGGGGCTGGGGGGAAAGAACCCCTGCTATGTTGACAAGGACTGCGATCTGGACATTGCCTGCAGGTGAGGCGTGCGGCACCTTGTTTGTGCTGGAGCCTTCCAGCTCACGCAGACCGAAGTCTTGCTCTGAGTCTAGGCAGCCTCTGGCTTCTGCCCCCTGAGAGCTCCCCTCCAGAGCCCAGCCCCTTGTGCCTCGATCCTGAGCTGACGGAATAAGATGCTTGTCTGGGGGGAGCCTCCCTTGCCTTGCGGAATGCAATCTAATCGGGAATTTTCACAGACGCATCGCCTGGGGGAAATTCATGAACAGCGGCCAGACCTGTGTGGCCCCCGACTACATCCTCTGTGACCCCTCCATCCAGAACCACATTGTGGAGAAGCTCAAGAAGTCCCTGAAAGTGAGTGTGGGCCCCCCAGGGCTGAGTGACAGAGAGGCTGCAAAGCAGTGAGGTGGGTCTAGACTTTAGAAAACACTGGATTTTCTTTTTTACTGATCCTAAAAGTAATCTACACTCACTGTAGATCATTTGGAAAAAGATTATAAAAGAAAAAAAAAACCAAACTCCACCCAGAACCCCACCGCCCCAAGACAATCACTGCTCACGTGTTGGTATGTTCCCTCCCATTTCCTTTCTGCGAATGCTCACATTTGGTCCTATCGCCAAGTCCACACAACTGTGCATATATTTCTTTCAAATAATGCCGTCTCGCAGCAGTTTGTACGCAATGAACGTCTGGAGCACCCCCGATGTCATGACAGTCTGGTGGCTCTTGGTGTCGCTGTGCACCAGCTGGGTGGTGCCGCCCCCCCCCCCCCCCCCCCCCGTGCTCCAAGGTCACCTCTCAGCCAATGGCCACAATGAAGGTCCGCATCCTTACCTGAAGCCAGCCTCTTCTCTATAGGACTTCTATGGGGAGGATGCCAAGAAGTCCCGTGACTATGGAAGGATGATTAACTCCCAGCATTTCCAGAGGGTGATGGGCCTGATGGAGGGCCAGAAAGTCGCCTACGGAGGCACTGGGGACGCGGCCACCCGATACATAGGTGCGTGTGCTCGCCCTTGGTAAGAGCACCACTGCCCCCCGCCCCCGTCACACCCCCCCCACCCCCTGCCGCCCAGGCTGCCAGGGTCCCCGCAGGTTGATGGAGAATGAGCACAGATCCTTGGGGAGCAGGCACAACCCAGTGGGCCTGGGGTGGGCTGTGGGGCTGTCGGCAGGCAGGGGCCTAGCCCCAGCCCAGAAGCCCTCTGCCCATGGGGCCCGGAGGGCAGCTCCCTCTTCCCCCCACCCCTGCATCAGCAGGGGATACGGACCGAAAGACCACAAAAGCAACAAGAGCTGAGCTGGAGGGGGCCCCCAGGGCCTGGGCTTGCAGATCACCAGATGCGACCCCACTTTGCCCCCAGTCTGGCAGGGAATGAAGAGCTCCAGCAGGGCGGACCCTGTGTCTGTGCCCCCCCTGCCTCCCCTTCTAGGTTATACACAGTTCTCCCCGTGGTCTGCCGGGATGGAGCCAGGCAGGTGGAGGCCTCGTCCGCGCCCCACCTGAGCCTCCATACAGGAATGGAAGGAAGAAGCTAGATGCCGGGGATGCCAGGCGGGCAGGGGCCTCGGCAGCGGCTGATCTTGCTTGTTTCCTGCCTCAGCCCCCACCATCCTCATAGACGTGGACCCCCAGTCCCAGGTGATGCAGGAGGAGATCTTTGGGCCCGTGATGCCCATTGTGTGTGTGCGCAGCCTGGAGGAGGCCATCCAGTTCATCAGCCAACGCGAGAAGCCCCTGGCTCTCTACGTGTTCTCTCTAAACGACAAGGTGGGCCTGGGGTGCCCTCCCCCCGGGGTCTTGGCATCACGGGAACAGGATCCAGGGGTCCATGGACCCGGGTTCAGATCCCAGTTTCAGTGCTCACTGCTGTGCGACCTTGGGCAAGTCACTTAACCTTCCAAGCCCCTTTCTCAGCTCTGAAACCAGTTGTTTCTCACAAAGTGTTTGACACCTGGGGAGAGTGGGAGACCCCGACTGGGGTTCAGACCGCTGTGTGGGTCTGCCTCCACTGGCCCTTGAGGGGGGATGCGCCCACACAGGGTGGGGAGGGGCCTGGGGTGCCCCGGGAAGGAGACTGAGGCAGGGGCTGGGTGCCGTGGCAGGTGATTAAGAAGATGATTGCAGAGACATCGAGCGGTGGGGTGACAGCCAATGACGTTGTGGTCCACACCTCTGTGCACTCCCTGCCTTACGGGGGTGTGGGTGAGTCTGGGGCTGAGCTCACTGCCCACCTGCCCCCTGCAGATGTCCCCCGTCTCCCAGCCCTGGGTTGGGAGTTCAGGAGGGGCCTCAGACACCCCCAAACCCTCCCCTGTGGACCTCTGGCTCCTGTCAGCATATCCACCAACCACGTTTGACCTCGAGACCCGAGAGGCTCCTAGAGGCCCCCCGGTACACCAGGCCTGCTTCATGGAGGCCCCGAGAGAGGGGATAAGGGCCGGAGGTCACACAACTCTCTGGTGGCATCGCTGAAAATAAACTCTTCGGAGCGCTCTCCGTTGTCCCCAGTGTGGACTCCCTGGGGGATCCTCCAGGGCTCGGCCACCCCTGGGAGGCTCAGAGAAGGGGTGCATGAGGGCTGCAGGCGGGGGCTGGGGGTCTCAGGCCACCCGGGGCTGAGCCAGCTCCCCCCCGCCCCCCGCAGGGAACAGTGGCATGGGCTCCTACCATGGCAAGAAGAGCTTTGAGACCTTCTCCCACCGCCGCTCCTGCCTGGTGAGGCCTCTGCTGAATGATGAGTCCCTCAAAGCCAGATACCCCCCGAGCCTGGCCAAGGTGAGAGGTGGGGGTGGAGGCTGTCCCGGAGACCAGGCTGCAGGGAGCTGCTGGGCCCAACAGGACACACGCTTTCCTGTCCCCTTGTGTCCTCTTCACAGATGACCCGTCACTGAAGTGGACCTGGCCTCCCCGTGCTGCACCCCTGCCTCTCTGTCCAGCCCTAGGAGGATTGCTCCTGGAGCCCCCCTCTTGCTCCTCTGTGGATCATTGCATGCCCCCACTCCCATCTGGGCCCTGGGCTTCCCTTCCCCAAGTCCCCGCTGCCCCTTGCTGGACATAGACCAATAAAAGTTCACCAGCCAGACAAATGTGTGTGTGTGTGTGTGTGTGCGCGCGTGCGTGTGCTTCCTTTGCAACCCCCCCTCCGTTCTTTCCAGTCCCACCCCCCACCCCCCGCCAGTTCTCATCCTGACTCGCAGCGAAGGTCTCCCCAAAGTCCTACATTGGCCCCCGGGGGGCGTGAGGCAGGAGGCACTGGTGTCCAGGAGACATTTATCTTGCATCTAGACGATGGGAGTCAGCTCCATTTCTGGAGTGTATCCAGTGAAGGCGATGGCCAAGGAGGCTGTCTTGATGGCACACGGCTCAGAAACTGGAGGCCAATGTGCTCCTTTCAAGTTAGGTTTGACCCCGAGCTCAGGGGTCCCGTGGTGAGACCACACGGTCATCAACATGAACCCCCTTGGTGATTTCTGAGGGCAGCTCCTGGGCAGGAGGCTGGGAAGCCAGGTCGGCCCCCCAGGACCCACAGTGCCTGACAACTCCTGGTCAGGCAGCATCCAGGCCCAGGAGTCTGGCCTTGGAGGCCCGAGGAGCTAGGACAGAGTCCAGGGGACGATGGTCTGAAGTGGGAGCCAAGAATCAGCCCAGCCCGGCCAGCAGGTGCATGGGGGCGGGTTGGGGAGAGGTCTGCCGAGGCTGGCCCGCCTGCCTGGTTTGCAAACTGGCAGTGGGTGGCAATGACTGGGGCTGGCCGCTCTCCGGGATAAACGTGGGGGTGCTCACAGGACTCTTCGTGGTGAAAGCAGAGTTAGTCATCAGCTGTACCAGGCCCTGCGCCAAAGCTTTCCTGCTCCCAACCGAGGCCAGCCCTCCACTGGGCCTGGGACCCCTGCCTCTCTCAACCTTGCCTACTCCTGACCTTGACTCACGTCATTACCCTCCTTCCTCTCCAGCCCTGGTGCCCCATTCTGTGCTGGATCATTCCTAGTCTCTAGTATCTCATATTTTATTTACCCTCCCCCCCAAACCCAAATACAACCCCAAATAAAAGCCCTTAAGCTGTTACCTGTGCTTCACCCCCTCTGGTGGGGGGAAGGGGAGGGGAGCCAGGCAGAGAGTGAACTGTTTTGTATGGCTTGGATGTTCCCTGTGTGCACCATTTACTTATTTTGCAAATATCCAAATAATTGAATAATAACAAAATCAAAATCCTCTCAAAGCCCGCTGCCCCTCTACTTACTGCCTTGTTTCTCCACTGTCTTTCCTCCAGCGAGAGACTCCTCTGGACAGTGGGGAGTCTGCTCTTGCGCAACATTTTGCTTCCATACACTTTGACCCGGCCAGGTTAGCCTCTGTCACCTCCACTCTGCTGAAACTGCTCTTGTCCAGACGCCAGTGGTGGGCAGACTCACCCTCCCATCACCCCGTCGCCCACCTCGGCCCCACTGCTGGGCCACCCCTCTTTCCAATTCTCCCTCACCTCTGGGGTCCTGGGACTCCACGCCTCCATTCTCCTCCCACCCTCTTCCCAGATTAAAGTCTCCAGTTCCGGCCCTGAGCTCCTGACTCATAAATCTAACTGCCTACCTGACCCATGAACTTGGATTCTTTTTTTTTGAACTTGGATTCTTAATAGGAACGTAACGCTAGCATGCCCGGGACTGAGCTTTTGATTTCCCTCTAAGCCAACGTGGCATCACCCTCCGGAGGAGTGCTCAAGCCAAAACTTAGGAGGCATGTTTGACTCCTCACTTTCCTTCAGGACCAAGACCTCACAAGACCCCCCGGGGTGGGGGGAACCCACATCAGCGCAGCTCTGTATTTTCACCATTACGCCCCTGGGCTAAGTACCATGGAAAATGGTACCACTGAGTGGTCTTCTTTCTTCTGCTCTTGCTCCTCCCCAGGTCATTCTTCCCTGAGCACCCAGATGAGATTGCTAGAAAAAAGTGTCTGCCTTCAGCTCAGGTTGTGATCCTGGGGTCCCGGGATCGAGCCCCTCCTCCCTCTCCCCCTGCTCATGTGCTCGCGTTCTCTCTCTCTCTCTCAAATAAATAAATAAAATCTTTTTTAAAAAAAATCAGATCATGCCACTGTGAGAGCAAAAAATTATAAAAAGAGGCCTAATGCCCCCACCCCCGTCAAAAACAGAGGGACAGATTTTTCTCCCCTAGTAAATACAAACTGACTTCCGAAAAATTGTCATTGTGTGTTCTTTGTCTCTTTGAAACCTGTGGAAATCTTTTTTTAAAAGCTAAAAAAGCGGGCGCCTGAGTGGCTCAGTTGGTTAAGCAACTGCCTTCGGCTCAGGTCATGATCCTGGAGTCTCTGGATTGAGTCCTGCATCGGGCTCCCTGCTCAGTGGGGAGTCTGCTTCTCCTTCTGACCCTCCCCCATCTTGTGCTCTCAGTTTCTCTCTCAAACAAATAAATAAAATCTTTATATAAAAAAAAAAGCTAAAAAAGCCTCTAGCCAGCTTAGTAAGTCAGGAGCTCTTTCTCAGGGACCTGGGAGCCACCTTTTGGAAAGGAGACCATCCGGGGAAACAGCGCCCCCTATCTCCTCAGGTCGGAGCCGCACTTGGCCAGCGCTTGACCCCAAGGTGCAGAACTACCTACCTCCTGTCATTTAGACGTTTGCCCCTGGAGGAAGCCAATTAGTTAGCACAGATAGTGTCCCCAAGTACCAGGTGAGGTTAGGATGAATTCTGTGTGACAAATGGTGCTGCCGAGTCCTCTTATCGAAGGACTAGTTACCCTTCATCTTGAGAACGTGTGTGTGTGACGGAATATTCCGCCTGGCTGTATAAGGTGGTGGGATTCCTTCTGTCTCTGCCTGGGGTGTGCATCACATTCTGCTTTAATGCCTCCTCAATCATAAACCTGTTTTCTTTCTCCACTACCTTCGCGGAGAGGTTTCCTGGGTTGTGAGATGTAGATTTTAATTCTATTCCCCCAACACCACCTTCCGTTTAAAATCCTCAGGTCCCTAAGTTGCCCCGCAAGGGGGCTGTATGATCTGGGCCTCACCTTACTCTCTGACCCCAGCTGATATCTCAAACTCCCCATCCAACACATATATCACCCAAAGCCTCATGGCAGGTGAGTCTCATCACCCCTGTCTCAGCCCAAACCTCAACGCCCCCAAGTCCTTCCCCATTCTTTATCACTGCTTTGTTGTCTCCAAAATGCTTTGTGTCTCCAAAATGCTTCTTATCATCTGTCCTTAACTTCATGTGTTCATCTACTTATAGCCTGTGTCTCCCCATTAAAATGAGAGCAGTTACCTTTCTCTGTTGTACTCACTGTATCCGCCTAGAGGCTAAAACAGTGACTAGCACATAGTAGGTGCTCACTAAATATTGAAGTGCATGAATGTATTGCGGGGATGATACAGCCCAGAAGCTGAAACCGTATTAACCCTAAAGACAACATCCCGATCAAAGACTTCATGTCCCTTGTCTTCCCCGAGCTTAGGCCCCACAGGCATCCCTCTGATAAGTGAGAAAGCAGAGCCCCCCTACCCCAGGCCAGAGGTGGGAGGAAGGAGAAAGCCTTAGCTGGTCCCCACCCCCACCCCCAGCTCCTTCTCTCCTTCACCGCCATCCACCTGCAGCACTATGAGTTAGTCTCATGAGCCCATTCACAGATTAAGAAACTGAGGTTGAGGGGCGCCTGGGTGGCTCAGATGGTTAAGTGTCTGCCTTCGGCTCAGGTCATGATCCCGGG